CAGGGAGCTAAATACAAAAACAGAGGAGGTGGGATTCGAACACAAGACAAGAAGGAACTCAGGACCGAGGGGCAAACAGACAGCACATGCTTAATACATTGAGCCACGAGACCAGACAGGAGACAGGGGAGAACAAGGACTGACGTGAAGGATGGAATGACCAGCACCACCTGCTGGTCAAACGGGGAAGGGACACGGAAGGACCACAGTGGGGGGCTGACCCTGACAGTAAATGCATTTTCTTTGCATAATGATTTAAAAATGTACATTTTCAGAAAGATGTTTTGTCCCTTTCTCAACAGTTTAGTTAATGGGAAAAGTCTTTTTATAATAATGAAACTACTGCAATTTTTTTGCTTCCATCTAAAATCTACGATAGTTCAACTTTCTTTGCTAAATAATCTCTAGCAACAAATATATCTGGTCAAACTTTCAAACAAAACTATTTGGTCTTATATTTAATTGGATTATAAAGAAATCACACAAAAGGTTTTTCTAACTTGTGAAAATAGTTTGTTTATTTTCATATAACTTGAAGATGATGGGGTGGACACTGACAATGACATGACAGGGTGGACAAAGGCTGTAATACGCGCACTAGAAGAGAATACGTCTATTATTAAACAACACGAAATCATTATAAAGAATCATACATTGATAAACATTATAAAGAATGGTTTTCATTTTTTCCATCTCTCTCTCTCTCTCTCTCTCACACACACACACACTGAGCTCATTAATACCTGTTTTCTTTCCAGTACCTCTGTCTTTATGCCACCTGTCCCCCACTCTCTTTCTCCAGGCACTTTCTTCTCCTTACTATTTCAGCTCCACTTTGATCCATTCCAATGAAAAGTCAATTCAAAACATTCCCTCACAAACTGCTGACCCCCTTTATTTAGTGGTCTGAAAAAACTATGCAGTCTGATTTAATTACGTAGGAAAAGTTTGTAAAATAGAAAATTAAGATCAACAAAACGTTAGGAGTCACATGTATCGAGCTAAGCAGGGGAAACAGGTGTGATTGCTTGACACCAGGCTAACGTTAGGAACAGACAAGATAGACAGCGCCATCTGCTGGCCAAACAGGAATATGACGGGACTGGCAGGGACAAATACTGACAATGCAATGATCCTGACAAGTAATTGATTTCACATTTATTATTTATGATTTTATCAAAGGATTATCAATGCAAATGTACTGAACTATTTTCAAACTGAACTGCATTTATCCAGCACACTGTGAATCACTGGCCAGGCATAATTAAAGTGCTCCGTTCTGTACCTGGTTCCGTATGTGAGGATCCATAGATCAGCATGGTTTTCACCAAGACTTCCGGTTTCCTTCCACAGTCCAAGAGCATGCAGTGGTGTCTTACAGTGAGAGATTGTGTGAGTCTGTGCCCTGTGATGGACTGTAATCCCATCCAGAGTGTCCCACAGCTGTAGGTCTATGTTTGTAGCTGTCAGAAACATTAAAGTTGATTTACAGCAGGGGTGGGCAATCTTATCCGCAAAGGGCCGGTGTGTATGCGGGTTTTTGCTGCAGCTCTCTAATTAGATTACTGATTAGAGGACTGATTGGTTGAAGAGTCCTCACACCTGGCGAATAAGTTTACCCACCCCTGGTTTAGAGACACCAGTTCATTTAGGTTACATGTTTTTGGATGTTACTGTACTGGGAGAATATCCTCACATGCACTGGGAGAGCATTCAAATTCTACCCACACATACCCCCTTTCAAATCCACCACTGTCAGCTTCTACCTTCCACGAAAATTAGCCATTTTCTTCCATTTATATTATGTTTAATTTATTAAAATATGTAAGCTGATAAAAGTTTTAACATGGAGATCCATTCTGTGAGGGATGTTCTTTGAAATTATGGCACCAGCTAATTAGTTTCTAACTTTTTATTTGACACAGCACAAATACAAGATCTCTCAGAGCTGAGGATTGTTCTGCTGGGAGGGAGGTGGACTGGGAAAAGTTCAGCAGGAAACACCATCCTGGGGAGAGAAGAGTTTGTCACTGAGCGAAGAACTGCACAGTGTGTGAAGAGACAGAGGGAAGTGGCTGGGAGGCAGGTCACTGTGGTCGACACACCAGGATGGTGGATGAGCTGGTCTGTGGAGGATACTTCAGAGTTGGTCAAACAGGAGATTGTGCACAGTGTGTCTCTGTGTCCCCCAGGACCCTGTGCTCTGTTCATTGTTTTAAGTGTAGATGCATCATTCACAGAGACACGCAGGAGGTCAGTGGAGGAACATCTGGATCTTCTCAGTGGGACAGTCTGGAGACACACTATAGTGCTGTTCACCTGTGGAGACTGGCTGGGAGACAGAACTATTGAGCAGCACATAGAGGCTGAAGGGGAGGCCCTCCGGTGGCTGGTTGGGAAATGTGGGAACAGGTATCATGTTCTCAACAATGAGAAGAGGGGTGATGTCACTCAGGTCACTGAGCTGCTGGAGAAGGTGGAGGAGATGGTGGCAGGAAACAGTGGATGTCACTTCACTGTGGGAGAAAGAGCAGGAAGCAGTAAAGACATAAAACAAACTTCTCAGGAGGAATGGAGCAGAAGAGAGGAGCAGCAGATAGAGATGATGTCACGGCAGGTGGATGATGATCAGACAGACGAACCTCCAAGGAAGAGGAGGAGGAGCAAGAGTATTTCTCCTCCTCCTTATTGTAAGTTTATCTACTGTACACACATTTTTTAGCTGTGATACAGTTTGGTTCCTGTAAATCCGTACAGGAAGCAGAGTAACGGACCAGCCCTCCTCTGACCATGTGGGTTACGTTTGGCTCTGGGGAGCAACACTGACAGCTTCTATAATCAAGCTGATTTCTCAGTGCTGTCACTGTGTAAACAGGAAAACGAATTTCTCTTCCTCTTGCCTGTGTTTCATTTTTTATGATCACAATCCTTTACCACGTAATGTGTAATTACCATTTGTAAATATTATTCAGGAGGCATTTGTGTATAATTCCTTCTGTGAACATCACCTGATTACTATTTTTTTAATAACCTCTAGATTTTATAATGTTATATTCTGCACTATCACTGTAATATGGCCTGTTGTTTATATTGTTTTTCAGTTAGTAGAGAATCTTCACCCCCCTCTGAAGCCAGATCTTCAGTACTGGGTGGAGGACGGGGACCTCGGCTGTCCCACAAGAAGGCATCAGAGAGGGCAGAGAATTACCAAGCAGGAGCATCTTCATCAGGTTATGGAACACAGACGTCTGCATCTGCAGCCCCCTCTGAAGCTGGAGACTCAGGGTGGCTCAGCTGGTTATTTAAACGATTTATGAGGAAATGATTTTGTAATAAACTGGGGAAATACCAAGCAGGGACGTCTTCATTGGCTCATGGAATGCTGACATCACAACAAGCCAGGGACATTCCTCAGCCTTGTCAGATACTGAAAGCACTTATGAGGGATCTTAGGGCTGGGAGACGTGGCAAAATGTTTTTTCACAATGTATCTTTTTTATGTCAGTCTTTAATGACAATCCTATAATGATATAGTGATAATTATCATACACTGTAAAAAATTCTTGTAAAAAAACAGTAAACAACTGGCAGCAGGATTGCCATTATGTTACTGTAAAATTAAGTTTTTTTACTGTTACTGAAGTTTTCTGTTTTGTACTGTTAATAGAAAATACAGTACAGACTTGTTTTTGAGTACCTTCACAGTATAGTACTGTAAACTAAAAAATACATTATACAGTATATAGACTTTTTTTTTTCTTTTACTCTCTTACAGCTGACTGATTTGTTTTAATACAAATTTTAGTTTGTATTTTTTTTTACATACATTTTAATACACCTAGTTTTTTTACCCTAAATTAATACTGACTTAGCAGGTTATACACATAAAAATAGTCATGCTAGATATGATTAAAGGCACCTTAGTTAATAAAAAGGCAATAATAGACCTTACTGGTTGCCCCAAAATCAAAACATCCCAGCCTGGAACATTCAAACTGTTGTACAGTATGTGTAGCTTCTGAAACAGACCACAAATAACACATAATAACAGAAATAATACACAGTGTAAGAATAATAGATGTCATGAGTAAAAGAATGATTGTGAGAATTAAAAATTATGTCAGACTGAGAGAATGGAAGAGGGGTTCAGACTTCTTGCTCTGTTAGGGAGAATGGGAGAAGGAGGGCGAGAGTGAGAGAAAGAACAAGTTAGAGGAATGAGACACGCTGGTGTTATATGTGAGTAACTTCACTGAGTAAGCTCACTATTTATACTCACAGTCCATGAGCCTCCTCAGCAGAGTGGATACATGTGGATTGAACATTGTTGCCTTTTAGTTGGTGACTTGGCCAGTTTTCTTTGATAAGACTTTGCCCCGTCCAGCCTTGGTGCTTCTCTCGGGGTTTATTCCAACAAACCCCCTGAAAAAATGATAGTGTTACTTAAGACACTGTAACTGTGATTAACAGCACAATAAAAGGTAGCAAATGCATAGATTCGCAATAGCATGTCATCAAAAAAGATAACAAACAATACAGGTTTTAAAGTATCAAACCTTTGGATAAATTTGAGTGTGCATACTGCCTCTTCCTGGAATTGGAGATTGAAGTTGTAGAATGTGGAAAATATTGCAGCAAGCCCTGTCAAGAAGGTGGGCTGGATCTCCCAGGGTGGTCCTACCCCCCAGGACGGTCCTACGACGTGGCTCTCAAGGCTGACCATCCAGCACTGAAAATTGGTTCCTGCTCTTTCACCTGAAACTTTTTAGTCCATGTTTGACAGCAATTGTGTTGAGTGATGAAAAATATAGTATAGTATAGTACTGTTTGAAAAACCTTTTTTTATCCATTATGAATATTCTATCCAACTATCCAACTCTTTCTATAATACCCTGAATCAGTATTTCTGTAACAGATACTGTCTCTCATTTCAACTGCCCCAGTAACAACAAGTAACACTAAAAATTACCATGGTACAATCAATGGTGTTTCCCAGTGCTTTTGTTATAGCTTTGTGTCTATCCGAACAAACATGGAATATGAATGAGATGGCATACAAGACTCACATTCCCAGAATGCATTTGGTATCTGTCCTGATAAATTACTAAGAAAAAAAGCTTTCCTCTAGTACTTCCTGTCAGATGATCAAGGGAGGAAGTGGTCAGACAGTATGAAGGATTTAAACAAAAAAACAGCTGGAAGATTATTTATAAAACATATGTATGTAACATATGTAAAAACTACTATTGCTGAACAGGATTAAAATAACCGACTTAAAAATTATTACTACATAGAATTAAATTAAAAAGTAGTCGGTACCTAATTGTAAATCAATAGCCTGATTAGCACAAGGTGACTGAAACACAAAATTGCAGATCTAGGTCAAAATGACCAAGAAACTCATCCCAGAATCCATCAGTTTGATCTAACAGGCCAGACAAACAGCGGAAACAGGGAGCTGAAGGAGGCGCTGTCCACATCACCTCCTGGCAGCAGGTGGGGTAGTTTCTCCTCCATGGCAGCGGAGCCTGAGCTGGAGACAGAGCAGCTGTCTAGGTGCCCTGGGTGTCGGGCAGATGTTTCTGGGGTGCTGGAGCCGACGCTCTGGTTCTCCAGATCCACAGAAGAGGAGAGCGGAACCGGGAGCTGCTGAAACACCATCCTCGCCTCCTTGACCTCCTCCTCCTCTTCCTCCTCCTCTTCCTCCTCTCCCTGTCCAGAAGCAACGAGCAAGGGGGAGCCCCTGTCCTCACTATTTCCACCCTCCTCATACCCGAGGTCATCTTCCTCCCTCTCCATCACACCCAAGATGTCTCCCAGCATGGAGGGACCGAGGTCCACGTAGAAGGACAGGACGGACACGGCGTGTTTCAGGCCGGCACTGCGGATGGGGGTGGAAGGCAGCTCTGTCAGCTCCCCAAAGTGCTTCTCGTCCAGCTCCGGGTCCTGGGAAACACCGGCTGCTGTGGCGCCATTGGCTGCCCCGCTGTCCTGCTGCTTCAGGGGGCTGGACGAGAGGCTGTGGGTCACAGGGGTGTCCCCCCGGCCCCTGTTCCTGTCGTTGAGATAGGGTAGGGACATGGCGCTCTTCATTAGGGATGGCGAGCTTCCAGTGGGGACAAGGCCTCATTTTGCCGGTCCACCCGAGTCACTGATTGAGTCACCAGCTGATACGGAATGTCCGGAACAGGAGGCTGAGCTTCAGGGATCGTAATTGCATTCCCCCATCCATGAGGGGCTCTCCCATCTGAATGCCGAGAAAGTAGGTGTTCCCAAAAGCATCACCACTCTCACCCACATACATCGTATGGTGGAAGTTCCCCAGTGGGGCGCTGATCATCTCCAGTGTAAGTTCCATCTGAGATCGACATTTAGACTGGGACGATGTTTGAGGGTAGGCATCCTGGGCATCTTGGCACTTCCTGATGACTCTGCAGAAAGTCTTTTTACATATATGGGGTCAGCAGGTGATCAAGGAACAAACAAATCCAGGTCTTGTGGCATCATCGCCATAGCAGTCGTCTGGAAGAGTCACTCAGGTTCCTGGAACGTCACTCACAGCCTCTGAAGCTACACTGGAGAAAGACAGAGCAGATATCAGATCAATGTTTTGGTGAATTTCATTAAATCACTCAGGAGTGATCAGAATCAAATCAGACCCCCCACATCCGAAAACACACCACATATCCCTGATATGTATCCCTCATATACGAGTAGCTGACCTCAAGTCCAACCACTTTCTAATGAAACCACATCACCCACTACGCTGTTTACATGCCACAAGACAGACTACTGAGAAAACAGTAACCAGAGAGAAGAGAGAAAAGAGACTGAACCTGTACATTAAATCTCTAAACTACGCATATATCCGTAAAGAAGGAACAGCAAAACAGAGGCTGGATTAATCTTCAGAGATCTTGCTGCAGTTTGTGGCAGATAAAACCAACGATGAAATAGAGGTTAAGAGACTCCAACATGGGGGGAGGGGGGCCTGTTTCTGGATTATTTAATAACACAAAGATCATAACGGCTTTTAGGTAAGTTCATGCAAGGTCAGTGTGGCCGATGAGGGAGATGGACAGAGCTGTACCACCAGATGGACCTTTAATGATATCAGGACACCCAGCCCCCCAGTATCAGCACGGACACCCAGCCCCCCAGTATCAGCGCAGACACCCAAAGACACACAAACAAAATCTCTTTTATTTGGGCAATCCAGCAAAGTGTTACCGTCACACTCTGGCACTCGGTACCAAGTCACACGGCGCACAAAGAGCAACCAGTTGATAAACCATAACTCCCAATTCCCTATAAGGACTTCAAAGTCATGATTGGTCACAAAACACCAACAAACCAAGCTCAAACGTATAACAAATACAATTCTCCTCCTCTATTGATTCACCTTGGTAGCAAGGTAAAATCCACCCATTAGTCTCGACTTCTAGACTCTACTTGAGATATGCATATAGATATTGATTATATGACATTGAATCACGGTTAATGTTTGGGTGTTCCATTGATTAATGATTAACACATTGACGTATTGTCATTGAATCACTGCAAATGCATGGTTAACATATGATTAGTACGATTAATGATTAATGTAACAACTACTTATATATTTGCACTACCGAGCTCTCTTCAGGGTCTGCGGAACTAACCGCACCTAGCTATCACAAAGCGATACAGTATTCTTGCCTGAGGCCTAAGACATAACAGACCCAATATGCCTCCCCTCCCAGGCCTACCAATGTCCAATTTTCCTTCCACAACCTCACAAAGTATTGTTTTCTGCAAGATAAACTGACTATTATAGCTGTCAAGAAATATATCCCCTGTGTTTCAGACCAAAGTATGAACAGATAACATAATGTAATCTGAACGTCTCTTGGAAACGTTCATGGGGGACCTATTTCATTGCATATTAGCTGATGAAAGCTAAGGCAAAAGAACCCCAAGGATGTGCTGGTAGCACCATTTCCTACTAAGATTTATGAAACACAATAATAATAATAATACAGGGGGATGCATTATTTGTCAAGCTCGATTTTATAGCTGCTGAGATTTGCATCCCCCTTTTTTCGTGAGGTACATGCAGTTCTCGGCAGACACACAAAACTCGGCATAACACACCAGCGGTGCCATACCTCGAAATTTGGTGATTATTAGTCGCTGCTTTGGTCCATTTAGCCACGCTAAGCCTTTAAGAATGTTCCCCCTAACCAAAAGTGAAAGTGGTTCAGGCTAAAGGAACTGTACAACAAACCTGTCCAAACAGGCTTTTGTTAATCATTGTCAGTCTGTAAGCTTGTTTTCAGTCTGTCCTTCTTCTTTCTGCTCATTTCACTATTTATCGATTTTGCCTCCAGTGTTTGTTTATTAGTAGTGGTGTTTGGTCCTGGCTACAGAGTATTAGTTAAGTTTTGATTCCTGCTTACAGACGTTTCCTCTTGGATTATCTTGGATTCCTCACAGCCACGTCGATCTCTCACTTCCAGGCTTCTCTCAGGTATGAACCGCCACCTAATCTGAGAATGATAGTGAGCTTAATGTATATGATGAAACAACCACAACAAGTTACATAGTTACAAAAAATGATTTTTTGTAGGGAAAGCACAGTACAATCAGCTTTTGAAATTGCATTTTTTTTTACATTTGTGTATAGGGAAGTAGATTTGGTTAATTTGTGTTTCAGATCTGAGGCTACATTACTGACTGACAGCTTTATTTAAGGGTAATTTTTAACTGTGTTGTAACACAGTAATTTTAAAGTGCTTTGAGTCATTTAAAACTGTACAGATGAGCCTGGATCGCTCACAGCGACTACGCCATCAACCCGAACTACACGACAGAGTATTTTCAGATGCCCTGTTTTAGTTCTTATTGCTGTTGGTATTAAACCAGCAGAACCAGTTTTGTTGCAAGGTTTTGTTTTGACATGTCAGACAGCCGAGCGCTTTTCTGCCCTGTTCCTCCGTGGTCGTGTATCTTCCCTCCTGTGTGCTTTCATGTGCCTCTTCTCCGTGACCCTGTTGTCCATGATGAGGCTGAAGTTGGTTCAATAGGCGGCAGTTTCTTATCCACAAGATTTGTTCCACCTTAAATAGACATAATGCTTGTTCTGCCGTATTGACAGTAATTAATCTTATCAATGTCATACGTCTGTTACAAAGTTCAATACCATGTGACTATTACATTTCATTAAGACCTGCACCCCATTTGGGTCCCCTGTTCCCAATCTGTCAGGTGAATAGAATAGCTTTGGAGCTCCCTGAAAAATCATGATAAACTTATATGCTATAATACACCATTTGGACAAAAGTATTGGGACACCTGGCCATTACACCTACAGGAACTTTTATGACATTCCATTCTGAATCCGTTGGCATCAATATGAAGCTGGTCCCCCCTTTGCAGCTGTAACAGCTTCCACTCTTCTGGGAAGGCTTTCCATAAGATGTTGGAGTGTGTCTGTGAGAATTTTTGCTCGTTCATCCAGATGAGTCTCCCTTTGCCAACCAAACTTTAAAATTGGCACAATACAGTCAGACATTCGTGGCTGAGTTTCTGTCATTCCTAAACACTTCTACTTTGGAATAATTCCACTTACAGTTGACTGTGGAATATCTAGCATGGAAAAAAAAAATCACAAACTGACTTATTGCAAGAGTGGCATCCTATGACAGTACCGCGCTTGAATTCACTGAGCTCTTCAGAACCCATTCTTTCACAAATGTCTGTAAACCTGACTGCATAGCTAGGTGCTTGGTTTTATACACCTGTGGCAATGGGTCTGACTCAAACACCCGAATTCAATGATTGAAATTTTTGTCCATACAGTGTATGTTTTTTTCATATAGGGTGTGATCACGGTGGGGTCACAACAAACCAAAACATTCTGCAGTGAAATGAATTGTACTGTCATCCATTCAAACACAGTACATAGTGGAATGAAATAATGTTCCTCATTCAAACTGAATGAATACCCCAGCTAAAAAAACGAATTTCAATTTATTTGTAATGTAATTGTCCCAATACTTATGCCTCACAGTAAAAGAGACATTATGTTGCATGGAATTATTTATTTCTAAAGATCTTTCAACTCTTTCAAACCAGACCAGCTGTCTTTAAGATATACCTACTGTGACCAAGTTAAAGATAAACTGCTTCATGGGTTGTCATACTAACCAGTTTTCACCATTACTTTGGGTGTATTTAAATACCTTATTACACAAAATAGAATGATACCTAATTATTGCATATAAGAATAATTATATGTACCTAATTATATTATAAATACCTAATTATAACATATAAGAAACCTGATATATCACATATACAAGTTCTTATCTGCTTTAATTTCGTTAATGTTTGAAAAAGTTATTGTCCCAAGTGTCATACTGTGAATGATTTTTACGGATCTTCCTGTCTACCAGTACTTTATATCAGGACAGGGCTCATGCTGATGTCCATAAACACCATCACAGATTCAAGAAAGAAATGGCTTCTTCCAGACATGGTAAGTTCATATGCTCATTTTATAACCCAAGTCATATCAGAGTATAATACCATTATGGTGTTAATGAGGAAGAGCAAAAAATCATAACATACATATTGTGGTAACTTGTAAAATGAGGGACAAGTTATTTGTTTCCCAATAATTATTTATTTAGATTTTATAACAACACTATCAATATGTGACTAAAAATAAAAAAACAGCAGGCTTGAAATATTTTCATACTGCATTTATCCAGCACATTCAGAATCACTGCCCAGAAGTAACTAAAATGCTCGGTTCTGTTCCTGGTTCTGTATATGTGGAGTATCCTTGGACCTGCATGGTTTTCCTCCAGGTACTCTGGTTTCCTTGTACACCAGGGTTCTTCAAATCTGGACCTCAATTCCAAATCCAGGCCTTGTTTTCAGTTCTCCCAGGTAGTTAGTTTAATAATTACTGATTCTGATTGGTCAGAGGCTTCACACCTGACTGACAGGTAAAGGAAGGCTGGAAAACCAGCAGTGCTCGGACCTCAAGGACCGTGATTTGAATGACCCTGATCAAGATGATGATCAAGATCTGATCAAGACTCTTACAAGATGCAGTTAAATGGTGTCTCATAGTGAGAGACTGTGTGAGTCTGTGCCCTGTAATGGACTGTAATCCCACCCAGAGTCTCCCCAGCCTCATGCCCTTTGCTGGAGTGAGGGATTGTGTGACTCTGTGCCCTGTAATGGACTATAATCCCACCCAGAGTCTCCCCAGCCTCATGCCCTTTGCTGTAGTGAGGGATTGTGTGACTCTGTGCCCTGTAATGCACTGTAATCCAGCCCAGAGTCTCCCCAGCCTCATGCCCTTTGCTGTAGTGAGAGACTGTGTGACTCTGTGCCCTGTAATGGACTGTAATCCCGTCCAGAGTCTCCCCANCAGTCCATTACAGGGCACAGAGTCACACAGTCTCTCACTATAGCAAAGGGTATGAGGCTGTGGAGACTCTGGGTGGGATTACAGTCCATTACAGGCACAGACTCACACAGTCTCTCACTACAGCAAAGGGCATGAGGCTGGGGAGACTCTTGGCGGGATTACAGTCCATTACAGGGCACAGACTCACACAGTCTCTCACTATGAGACACCAGAGTCATTTAACTGCATCTTGTAAGAGTGTAGATCAGGGCCATTCAAATCACGGTCCTTGAGGTCCGAGCACTGCTGGTTTTCCAGCCTTCCTTTACCTGTCAGTCAGGTGTGAAGCCTCTGACCAATCAGAATCAGTAATTATTAAAGTAACTACCTGGGAGAACTGAAAACAAGGCCTGGATTTGGAATTGAGGTCCAGATTTGAAGAACCCTGGTGTACAAGGAAACCAGAGTACCTGGAGGAAAACCATGCAGGTCCAAGGATACTCCACATATACAGAACCAGGAACAGAACCGAGCATTTTAGTTACTTCTGGGCAGTGATTCTGAATGTGCTGGATAAATGCAGTATGAAAATATTTCAAGCCTGCTGTTTTTTTATTTTTAGTCACATATTGATAGTGTTGTTATAAAATCTAAATAAATAATTATTGGGAAACAAATAACTTGTCCCTCATTTTACAAGTTACCACAATATGTATGTTATGATTTTTTGCTCTTCCTCATTAACACCATAATGGTATTATACTCTGATATGACTTGGGTTATAAAATGAGCATATGAACTTACCATGTCTGGAAGAAGCCATTTCTTTCTTGAATCTGTGATGGTGTTTATGGACATCAGCATGAGCCCTGTCCTGATATAAAGTACTGGTAGACAGGAAGATCCGTAAAAATCATTCACAGTATGACACTTGGGACAATAACTTTTTCAAACATTAACGAAATTAAAGCAGATAAGAACTTGTATATGTGATATATCAGGTTTCTTATATGTTATAATTAGGTATTTATAATATAATTAGGTACATATAATTATTCTTATATGCAATAATTAGGTATCATTCTATTTTGTGTAATAAGGTATTTAAATACACCCAAAGTAATGGTGAAAACTGGTTAGTATGACAACCCATGAAGCAGTTTATCTTTAACTTGGTCACAGTAGGTATATCTTAAAGACAGCTGGTCTGGTTTGAAAGAGTTGAAAGATCTTTAGAAATAAATAATTCCATGCAACATAATGTCTCTTTTACTGTGAGGCATAAGTATTGGGACAATTACATTACAAATAAATTGAAATTCGTTTTTTTAGCTGGGGTATTCATTCAGTTTGAATGAGGAACATTATTTCATTCCACTATGTACTGTATTTGAATGGATGACAGTACAATTCATTTCACTGCAGAATGTTTTGGTTTGTTGTGACCCCACCGTGATCACACTCTATATGAAAAAAATTTCAATCATTGAATTCGGGTGTTTCAGTCAGACCCATTGCCGCAGGTGTATAAAACCAAGCACCTACTGTAGCTATGCAGTCAGGTTTACAGACATTTGTGAAAGAATGGGTTGTTCTGAAGAGCTCAGTGAATTCAAGTGCGGTACTGTCATAGGATGCCACTCTTGCAATAAGTCAGTTTGTGATTTTTTTTTTTTCCCTGCTAGATATTCCACAGTCAACTGTAAGTGGAATTATTCCAAAGTAGAAGTGTTTAGGAATGACAGAAACTCAGCCACGAATGTCTGACTGTATTGTGCCAATTTTAAAGTTTGGTGGCAAAGGGAGACTCATCTGGATGAATGTTGGACACACTCCAACATCATATGGAAAGCCTTCCCAGAAGAGTGGAAGCTGTTATAGCTGCAAAGGGGGGACCAACTCCATCTTTAAGCCTATGGATTCAGAATGGAATGTCATAAAAGTTCCTGTAGGTGTAATGGCCAGGTGTCCCAATACTTTTGTCCAAATGGTATATTATAGCATATAAGTTTATCATGATTTTTCAGGGACCTCCAAAGCTATTCTATTCACTGGACAGATCGGGAACAGGGGACCCAAATGGGGTGCAGGTCTTAATGAAATGTAATAGTCACATGGTACTGAACTTTGTAACAGACATATGACATTGATAAGATTAAGAAATTCCTTGTTTTTCCATTTGGGACTTTTATTTTGAAACTTCACAGACTGTCAAAAGTACTATGGCTGCTGAACTCTCTTTCTTCACAACAAAGTTTCCTCTAAGGAAGCATTCATCTTTTCAATGATATTACTAAAATTGTAGTATGCGGCATGCTCCATGAACTCAATCAACCTTTCGTTGTTTGTTCTGACACAGGTTGTCCATTCTTAAAAGGCTATCATCTGGTTGGTGAAATTGCATTCATTTCTGTGAGGGTTTATCAAACTTTTTTTATTGTTTAAATTTTATATGAATGTTGATATATCAGCCATATCCCCCAGCCCTCCTGTGTAGTGTAGAGAGATCAAGTAAGCAGGTGGCCCAATGCTAAACATGTTTATTAACCATGATTTGAGATTCAAATCTAGCCTCTCGTGGTTGTTTGTGATAAAATTCCAGTTTCTCTCAACTGCGAGACAAAAACTGAACTAGCTTATATATGATTGGTAATATTAGAAAGTATTACTACTGCTTTATAGACACGCTGATATGAGCCATTTGAAAAGTGACCGATTGGACAATAACAGTAATACATATCTAAAACGATGCTGTTAATTATACATGTACAAGATATAATGCCATATTTTTATATTTACAAATATTACTCTTTTAAATGTAATCACAATATTGTCTATCTTGTTTTTCATCATGTTTCAGCTTATAAATGTATAAATGTTTGTACCAAAGTTCTGGTAAATTTAGCTGTTTTCAGAGTTGTATGGTAAAGGAAAATTCACCTTTTCCTGGTCAGTGAAGTAATGAGGCATAAATATCCCACAAGTAGAGGGTTTATAATGCCCATTTGGTTAAATCAGGCGGTGACTAACAGCACCCGTTAAATTCAAGATGCTCCGCTTTACAATTTTAAAGTTGTGCCTGTAGGGGGCAGCGGTAGAGCATTTTAAAGTTATTTGTAATCGCTATGCTACCTCCTGTTTGTTTGTTCGACTGTCTTTATGTGTCACTTCATATACATCTTACTGAAATTGTCAATAAAAATTGATTGCAAAAAAAGGATGACCCAGATTGTCCTTTTTCCATTGTACATTGAATGGTGGAGAGAGTTATAAGCACCAAATTTCTCTGAATGCACTTAGCAGACGACCTCACCCTGTCTCTTAAGGCCACTACCCAGATCAAGAAGGCACGACTGCTTCCACTTCCTGATGCTGCGGAGGACTGCAAGACTTCCATTCTCATCACATTATACTGGGGCACCTTTACTTGACTTTAATTTATGTGCAGTGTATTTCTTGAATAAAAGGTTTCGCCTGCGTGAAAAACGATGCGCATGTGCAGTGTGCAGTGAGAAGTTTCCGCCACTAACCAAAACTGAAAGTCGTCGCGACCAAAAGAACTGCGCATTAAAAATGTGCTACAGGATTCTCATTAGTTAGCCTCATTCAGTAAGCTTTGTTTTCTGTCTGTCTTATTTCTGCTCATTTCACTATTTGTCGATTTTGCCTCCAGTCTCTGTATTTTGGTTACATTTTTTCATCTTGGCTCCAGAATTCCGGTTAAGTTCTGTTTCCAGTTTACGAACGTCCCTTTTGGCAGTTTCATCTCGGATTCCACTCAGTCACGTCGATCGCCATGTTCCAGGCTTCTCTCAGGTATTAACCACCACTAAATCGGAGAATGATAGTGAGCTTAATGTATACGATGGGACAACTGTGACAAGTTAGATATTTTCCAAAAAATTTAATTTTGCTAGGGGAACAAATTGCAGCCAGGTTTACGATTACTATCTTTTAACATTATTATAAGTATAGTGTAATTAAACTGGGTATGAAATTTGTATTTCTGAATAACTTAGGGAAATGAGGTTAAAGTACAGAATGCCAGCTTTATTTCTGGGTAGTTCTGAACTATGCTGGAAGAAATTTATACTAATTTGAAGGTGCTTTGAGTAATATGATACAGAAGTAAAAACAAATAATGGGGTGGGGGGAGGCATAAAATGTTATGTATTATAGGGTGGGGTTCCGAATACCCCATCCCCCACAAGGTTAAACTACAGTTCCGTGTCCTGCATGGAATTCTGTCACAGTCACGCGACTAAGCTGAACTGAAACTCACCATGCCTCAAAACCTGAAGCATTTTACCACTATGTGACATAGTAGAAATTAAGTGTCTGGGATCAGAATATATACAGTACCCCAATAGAAGTTAAAATATTAGCCGATGTTACAGTAGCTGCACCACTGCAGAGCAACTGGCAAATGCAAAATCAACAGAATTGAATTGGGTTTGACTCTTTAAAAACGCAACAAACTCCTGAAGGAACTGGGGGGCAGCGTGTGGCTC